TACATGAATTTATTGGGTCAGACCAAAAGTTTAAAGCATTTTTTATGTGAAGACAATATTCAGGTATTTCTATATAGATTTATTCAACCACATATTTGTTTCACTAGCTATAATCATGTTTGAGGCAACTGATTCCGGTGTCACAGAACTTGGCATCTTTCTGGATGATCTACTAGTCTAAATAGTTCTTACAGGCTTCCAGAGAACTGAAGTTTTACCTCCATTATGAAAATTTTATAAGATCAAAGTAAGTTGGAATTCAAAACTGTAAGGTTTGTGTGTATAAGAGGGAAAAAAAACACACGCAAAAAAACCCCTGATGTTGGCAATATTGTTTATTGCTCAAAAGATGCAAAACTGTTATGAAAACTTACTTGTAGAATCTTATATTTATAGAGAGAAAAAATATCAGATTAGGATTATGTTACATCAATTAAAATGAAGAATAAAAAAAGAATAAGATTTCAATTAAATTCTACTCAAAATAATTATGCAGATTGATTTAATATCTAAGAATTATTTTTTTTTATGCTGATTTATCTATCACTTCCCATGGATTACATACAGTACTTGTCATAGGTATTTAAACAGACATTTTGCTTTCAATTGCTTTGTTTTTTCAATCAAGTAAATACTAAACACTTCAAATACCTCGGATTATAGATCAGTTATAACAAATTTAGTATAGGATATAAGGAAATTGAACACATCATAAGCTGCATTAGAGATAGTTTTACCCAACACTAAATTGCTACAAAACCACATTAACATGAAAGCTCGAGTCATGTTTTTAAATAGCTTTGTCACATCAAGACTTCCATATAGAACATCTATATGGAATGCATGATACTAAACTTGCACAAAATCATCCCAACTGTCAGCTTTATATAACCACATTCCAAGATCAATAATTAAATTGGCTTTTAGCAAATGAAACCTATAGATCTTAGCCAGGACCATTGCTCTAAAACCTCTGGCACTACAGAATCACAACAAAGAACTGTACCAAATAACAGAAACCATATCACATGAGGACTTTCAACAGCAGGAAAAACCAAAACTGATATCACATGTAACTTAAAGAGAAAATAATGATATAATCAAGATGATGATATTCCACACTACAAACCTTTTGTTTGGAAAGAAGCTCCCCACCTCCATCCATACTAGAAAGAGCAATAACAGCTACTGGACTTAAGAAATTGTTTTAAGAGAAAAATTTTATAAATTTCAACTGAAAGTGACACTGGTTGACCAGTCAAAAAATACCAAATATTTCCTTAGAAGGAAACAGCTAATATACCATTACCATGTCTTAGTTAATTGAAGCATTGATTCACAATTTTAGTAGCATAGTGAGTTCAGTCCCGACACAGGGCAGTGTGTACTTGGACTCAGTGGAAACAGGACAAGTAATAACTCACTCATACTAAGTAAGAATTAGAAAAGATATTCCTAAGCATGCTCAACAAAACAAGAATGACCTCTCACCATAAATTAAATAAAGGTTTCAGTTTGAAATTCCATGAAGGTTACCTAGATCATCGAGCACCTAATGAAGGCTGGAGGGCACAATGGCTAAAACATTGTTATAATGACAGCAAAGATGAAGACAATAGTCCATGTATAAATAATGATAACTCCTCATCCTAGAAATTCAGTCAAGAATGATGCAAAAAGTTGCAAATTCTATTGCAATCAATATAATAAGGTATACATTTAGTCAGGTTTTGCAGTTCTGAATACTGAATTTCTGGTAAATGTCTTTTTATTAAAATTCATTTTTTTCTATTCTAAACTCGTGTTCTGAATCCATTTTCATTTTGCAAAGGTGAACTCACATTGTTATTTCAAAGTGCTGCCAAAATTTTCATCATCTTATTTCTTCAACGTAGCAATGTGAGTATAATTCTTCAATCTCCATGTTTGGTGCTTACCAAGAATTTAGGATAGAAAAAAAAAAAGGAAAAAGTATTTTATATTTTAACAATTCTGTTAAAATGTTTTCCAGAAATTTAACATTCAGAACCAGAGACCATGATTAAATGAATGCCTTCTATATTAACCACAATGAGATAAGAGTAGATAATTTTTTTTTTTATATGTCAAGAATAATTTTAGGGAAAAAAGCATGATGAAGTGGAAAAAGTGTTGGGGCCACCCACCTTCTCATCAGAATGGACTGATCTCTCTACTACTAATAGGACAGTTCTATAGAGTTCTGGCAAGACCAAGTGACCATCACACTTCCGTCTCTCTACCGGAAGATACAGTTGGACTTTATACTCTTTCTGATTGTTACTGACTAACCTGCGTTCGTTTGACTACTAATCTCTTTGTTGTAAATACCTCTTCAGATATACCAGTATTTTTCCCTATGTATGTGTTTGTCCTTATTTCAATACATGCATGGGGAAACACTCAACATCTCAACAAAAAGTTTCCACAAAAATACTTAGAAAGTGCTTTAATTGCTAGAACATCCACAGTAAATTTGCATCCAGGTTCTTATGATTCAACTTTCTATTTATCACAGTGTGGGATATTTAATTACAAAAGTGATAAAAACATAAACAAAAAGACAATAACTGAAAATTAACTACACATGTGTTGCTGTTCCTTTACTCAAGTACCACCTTTGTTTGTAACCTTTTTAAGGATACAACAGACTGGAAACCCTCCCAATATAGATGTCCCACTTTCTGCATGGTACTGAGAGAAAGTTAAGGTTCTTACAACACTTCACCTTTCTTTGCAGATCTTCTATTATCACAATGTGGGATATTTAATAACAAAAGTGATGACAACATACACAAAAAATAAAAAAAAAAAAGAATCAAAATAAAATTGATTAGATAATTGTTGAGATGTTGAGTGTTTCCCCGTGTGTGTATTGAAATAAGGACAAACACATACATAGGGAAAAATACTGGTATATCTGAAGAGGTATTTACAACAGAGAGATTAGTAGTCAAATGAACACAGGTTAGTTAGTAACAATCAGAAAGAGTATAAAGTCCAACTGTATCTTCCGGTAGAGAGACGGAAGTGTGATGATCACCTGATCTTGCCAGAACTCTATAGAACTGTCCTATTAGTAGTAGAGAGATCAGTCCATTCTGATGAGAAGGTGGGTGCGCCCCAACAATAATATATCCAAATGTATAAAAAATTATTTTAAATTCTCAGCATCCCTTTTTCATTCATAAATATTAACTTACTCTGATTAAGTCCTAAAGGCTGAAATGCATCACATGAAAAAATTTTTCCACTTTCTCATACTTCTTTCTCTTAAAATTAACTTCAATCAAATTTGGATTCTTGTTTTAAGTTTTTGTTAACTCACAAAACCAAGTGATTAAAAACAAAATTTCAGTTTTCTCAAATACTTACAAGTATTCTGTGTAAGTGTGTGCATACATATGACATGAGTTTAGATAACATCTGTTCAAGTACATACTCTACATTGCAAATATAAGAATGATCATACATACACAGATATACAATTGTGCTTATCTGAGATCTAAGCCATCTATGTATCAAGATATAAAATCTATAAAAAAACAAAAAAAAAAAACCATTCCAAATGTGTTTCATAGAGTTTTAGTGTAAGTAATTACCCGTTCTTTCTTTAATTATTGTTTTATGATGAATAATCTATTTTTATATAAAGTTAATTGCAGATTGTGTTTGATTAATAGAACTCAAGTAATGTGTTGCTAATGTTAAAAATTTGAAAACACTGCTTCAATTGATTGATTTGTTTGTTTAATGGCATATCAATTCCTTATAGGACATTTAATGACAAAATTTAATTTTTCTGGGAGCTTTGATGTAATAAAAATATGTTATTCTGCTTTCACAGTTGAATATATGGTAGATGATACTCAGCTTTTGTGTATATACATATTTGTGTAGACATGATTACTAGAGGCAGTGATATGTGTGTTTTATGTTAGTTTTATTGAAGTTATATTTTGGTATGCACCTTGATTTCTTTAAGCTACTCTTGGATATTATATGGAATAATGTCATGAAAGAGTACTTTTATGTTGGTTGTTTGTTTAGTTGATTTTATTTAGCATCATATCAATCTTTATGGGTTATTTAATGCAGAAATTTAAATATTTTGAACACAACTGTATGGCTTCAACTACATATAAAATGTATTACTGGTCATTTTACTATAAATATGTAATTTTTACAGTACAGTGTTTTGTTTTTGTATGAAAGTTCACTATTTTCCCATAGCTTGGATCCTAACAGGGTGGACCTGGGAACAAAAGTAATTAAGATGTAGTTCTACAATCCTCAAAACCTCTAATCTCCTGATCAGAAGACTTGTTACAGGATGTAGTTATTGTTACTTATCCTCATACCCAGGACTAGCATTGCTTCAAGTGACAGCCTTAGAATCAGAGATACATTTTATAATTGAACATTAATTAGCCCCTGAGATATAAATTTCAAATGACAATTCCACACTCTTTAAAGTACTACCTCAAATTATCAACTTTCATGTCAGTAAATAAACTAAAATAAAACAGTGTAAATGGACTGAAGAGTAATTAACACCAAATTATTTAGACTAGTGTCCTAATTTTTGTTTGACTTAATATACTATATAATTAACTATATAACATACTATATAATCTTGATAATTGGTATAATTCACTTGATTACAACTATCTTGCCTTTTGTTGATTGATCATAAAATTCCAGCCAATGTATTCTTTAGCATAAATCAAATACATCTTTGATTGAATCATCCTTGTATGTTAATGATGAATTTTATAATTAAGAAGAAGTTTGAAAAATTGTTTTAAAATAAAAATAATCTGTGATAGCACTTAAGAACCAATGAATGGGGCTCTAATCTCTCTAAAGTAATAAGATACATGGTACTGAGAGAGAAGGGACAGATAAAGAGCACTGAGAGAGAGGTCAGATACAGAACACTGAGAGAGTGAGATCAGATACAGAACACTGAGAGAGTGAGATCAGATACATGGTACTGAGAGAGTGAGATCAGATACATGGTACTGAGAGAGTGAGATCAGATACATGGTACTGAGAGAGACAGAAAGGGTGGCTGCTGAGAGAGAGAGAGAGAGAGATAGAAAAAAAGACACTAAAAAAACTACCATGTTAAACAACATTCTCATTGGTTAACACCAACCAATGAAACTTCTTCCCGCTAAAATCCAAATCTCTGTCTGGGAGCCAATCATCAGGTATAAAAACTTTGACCTCCATATAGCCCAAGGGAGAGATATTCAAAGAAGGCATTTCACAAGCCACACAATTCCTCATCACTCTAACAAACATTTGTAGAGTTCACATTACAAAAATATCATATGTAAATGCTACAAACTTTACTTGCACAACCTCAAATCCAGTGGCTCTTTCAACTAAGTGTAATTTTTATCATCAAAGTTCTAATGTGTGTTCACTATTGGAATAAATGTTGTATTTATAACTCAGGGGCAATCTCAAATTCATATTATTGACTGTGACAGAAGGAAGAAAGAAAAACCTTCAAACAGATACATAATGATGCAAGAATAAGAACACACAAGCCCAAAATTTTTACTCTTCTTATTAATTATTATTACAGGATGTAGTTTATCATCATACCCAGGACTAGCACTGCTTCAAGTGACAGCCTTAGAATCAGAGATACATTTTATAAGTGAACATTAATTAGCCCCTGAGATATAAATTTCAAATGACAATTTCACACTCTTTAAAATACTACCTCAAATTATCAACTTTCATGTCAGTAAATATAATAACAAATTTTTTTTTAAAAATGGAAGAAAAACAGTGAATCAATTGCACAAAAATTTGTTACTTAGAGAAAGTAAGTTTTTTTTTATACAGTATTTTCTACTAAATACAAACCTCCAAAAATCACAATATTTTTTATCTCACAGGTTTGATAATTGAAACTTAATGAATGTTTAAACATCTCTGTTCAAAACATTAGACTGCTAATAATTCAAAATTAAATATATAGGATTATAAATTATAACAACAAATTAAAATAATAAAATATAAAAACAATAACAGACTAACATCTAAACACACATGTTCCTTGATAAACCCAAAATTAAATAATTACATAATAAATGACCACATTATATTATGAATATAGAGCAATATATGTGTATATATATATATATATATATATATATATATATATATATATGAAATATAGTGTTAAGGTGTACTATATTTATGGGATAAAGTGCTCAATATCAGGGATAGAGCGTGTATAAATATAAATGGCCTGACGATTGCATCTAGCATGAAACAGACTGTTGCCTCTAAGTGTTGACTTCAATGTTCACTTTATATATATATATATATTATATATATATATATATCTCAAGTAGTGCTTTAAATAGTTTTGTTAATATTGTAAAGTAGACATACAAAGAATAAATCATTAAAGTTAATGCAATTAATGGTGAAATTCGTTTTGCTAACAGATCAAATAAGGCATTAACTCACTAACCACTCATTGAATGAAACAATCCTTGATTTTAAAAACTGTAAAATACATTAGATATTCAGTCCACCTTGCAAGAATTTTCAATACCACTTGTATCACTTTCAGGCATGGATGTCATTTTTCAATTTCAGGTAATTTTAGGTAAAATTCTGAGACAAAAATAAATGTAATGCTAGTGAAAAGATGTTTTTGTAAAAAGTGTGTTATTATTAACAGTTACAGAATTCATTTACATTTATTTTGTAACTGTTAATAATAACACAGTGCATCATTCAAGAAGTGCTGAGTGAGTTAATGCTTTATTTAATCTGTTAGTGAAGTGATTTCACCATTAATTATATTAACTTTCCTGATTTATTCTTTGCATGACTACTTCTTATATATATTATATATATATATATATATATATATATATATATATATATATATATATATATACACACACACACACACAACAATGCATAGCTAATCAGTTGAATACAATTACCATTTTTCCTAAATATTCCTTGCCAAGGAATTTTTGTTTTATACATGAATACTATATACAAAGAAAAAAAAATCAAATGAAAGAATATATACATTTATTTTCTATTACAGTTCTTTTTCTATGAACATATACAGCCTATAAAATAAAAATACATACACACATGAAAATATAAATATTTATTTACATAGATAAACTTTGCGATATCTCTATATCAATTCTGGAAGTTTCTAGACTCAACCAAAGCCTTAAATCAATGAAGGCTACAAATCTGGATAAAATTCTTCTAGTTTTCATTAGGAAACTTAGCCGGGAGCATTCTCCAATCTTGGCAAAGTTGTTTAACTGCTGCCTGAAGGAGAAATGTTTCTCAAGTCGGTGAAGAATTCCTTCTGCTTTCTAACACTTATTAAAAATCCATATATAGTTCTGAAGTAGTTAAAGTTGTAAATAATCACTGACATGAAATTGGCATAAAATGTTTAAAACAGAATAATTCATGGACTAGATACCGAAGTATTTTATGTCCAAACAAGTATCCAAAGTTATTTTATAAACAAATTAAACTGTGATGTTTAGAAAAAGATTTAAAAAAAAACAAAAATAAAATATATTCAGGATTAACTATTCAAGGGTGACTGGTCGAAAACAAAATGTGATTAAATTTAGCAGCAACTAACAGCCAGTTCTGTCAATCATATTCCTATTCTTAAAAGACCATTAGCATCAATTACAAAGTTGGTAGAACTTATAATGCACTTACTGGATCTACATCAAAGGGGTAAGATGACTTCCAAAAGGAGACACATCACTAGTAGAGTTTGAATCAAACAAATGCCTAACTTTTTGACTCTGATGCGGAGTGGAATTATATCAAATTTATCAATTTCTATGCAGAGTAGACCTATGCCTATCTTTTCCACTACCAGGCAGTGCAAAATTATGCCTACCATTTTGATTTCCATGCAGAGTGAGCCTATGCCTAACCATTTGACTCCCTTACAGAGCAGACATATGCCTATTCTTTTGACTCCCATGCAGAGTGGACCTATGCCTACCCTTTTGACTCCCATGCAGAGTGGACCTATGCCTACCCTTTTGACTCCCATGCAGAGTGGACCTATGCCTACCTTTCTCTTCAATTCATGATTTTTGTACTGTAATTCTTATATTTAACATTAAAAACCAAAAATATTATTAAATTAATCTAATAAACCATTAAAAATCAAGCAAAAGATATCTACAAAATCTATTCTCTACAACTAAGCTTAACAAGTTTCAGATTATTCTTTTTATATTGTATGTCCAGAGATATGTCAGAATTAAGTAAAATATTATATCCTCCTAAAAAATTATGTTCCTCTCAAATTTTTCAGCTTTTTAATACACAATATTTTATAACATTGCTGTAGAATGATTCTGTTATCTTTACAATGGCTGATAAATTTGAGCAACCTGACTGTGTGAAGCTTGGAAGATCTGCAACTGGGAACCTTGGAATGCTAAGTCAGGCTTTTGATAAATATTGTTCAGATCAAACACAGGTTTTTAAGTCTAATAAGTTTTGGAAGGCTGTTCGATAGCTGGTTTAAGATGAACATTCATGGTAGCCAATCACAAATAAAATGACAAAAAAATATAAGAAAAAATGAAATTGTTAACTCCTCCACAAATAGCAGAGCTGAACAATCCATTAACTTTCTTTCATAGTAATGGAATTGTCATCAGTTTCTTCTGGATTGTAATAAATGTCCAAAATCCATTTCCATCTACCAACAAAGTAGCAGTATGAACATGGATCAAACGATCCAACAACATGTGTCTTCTGTTCACTATCGTAGTGTCTGTCATTTCTTTAAGCACTTTTTATAGACTGAGTGACAGTTAAAATTTGCATATGTCATAAGAGATAAAGGTCTGTCTGTGAAAGTCTATCTGTTTTAAATACATGTCTTATGAAGCCACCATTTTGTTTTTGGGAATATTTTACATGCGAGACACATCCGAATCTGTTTCCATCCCAGTGGTAAGCCAATTTTTCTAGTGCTACACTCCTCACTGATCTCCTGATGACTTAAGTGACAAGAGGACGGAGGCTGCCTTCTGGGAGTGCTTCTTTGTAGACAAGGAGGGGATATTTCTATGAGCATCCCACCATCACCTGTGTTCTTCTGGTCTCCCTCATTTTCAATATTATCATCATCCTCTTGGTCTTCACGGAGACTTTCCAACCTTGTTCTTAATAAAAACAGAGTAAGCCATTTTTTCCAGTGTTACAGGAATCAAATATGAAAGCTATCAGAAGAACTTATCCAAAAATCTGAACATTCATTCTTGTGAAGTTGGTCCTCAGCTTTTGGTAATCAGACACATGAAAGAGGCACTGTGCATATCCACTCCATCAGTGTGCATTTTGCCATATTTTTTAATACCATTTCATTATTATATACATCCAAATGGCTCTGAAAAAAGTTAGTGATAGCAGCAGATCCAAGAGGAAAGTTGTGAGCCACAACTGACAAGAAAAAGCAAATAATAGTGAAGCATGAAAGTGAAATGTGTGTCTGATCTAATGGCAAACTTTTTGATGCTGAAATTGACCATATGCACGGTATTGAAGAACAAATACAGAAGAACATCAGATATTGCCAAAAGAGTGAAAGTGTTAACTAAAAAGGAGGCATGGTGAAATAATGGATAGCAGTTCGGATTGAGGAAGCAGAGCAGAGTTGAAATTCCAGTCTGATCATTCACTTATGTCCTAATACCCTTGGGAAAGGTATGAATATTCTTCTCCTCCAGCTATGGGTAAAATAGTAGGACAGATTGGGTGACAAACTGTTTAGGAGAAAGTAACTCTGAATTCAAAACCGTATGTAGACCTGGCGTAACACATACTATGCACTTAAAGAAAGGATCATTTGCATAGGTTTGAGGATCCCAACCTTGATGGGTCGATGTTAACTAAAGACTCTTGAAGTGTGAAAATAGTTTCTGATTTGGTTTGATGAAAACAAATTAACTGGTGATAAGATTTCCAAATTGATAATTTGTGAAAATTCAAGGTATTTAATTTTTATGAAAAAAAAAAAAAAAAAAAAAAAAAAAAACTATTTCAGTTATCGAACAAATCTGTTTCTGGATGACTTTTTTGAATAAAGTGACTACACATCCTTGGAGGAGAAAAATTATTTTCCTGCTCTAAAATCTCTTTCTCACAGATAAGACATTACAAGTTGTTTTCATGGAGAGGGTTTAGATAAACTACACTCCTTAGTTTCACTAGTCCTAACCTTAACAGGTAAGAACACGCACATTGTAGTGAATCATCCTCATTTTACTTGTATTCTTTTAGTGAGATGTAATTTCCACATGAGCAGCTAATTACCAGGAACCACTGCTTTGTGGAACCGGCTCCCAAGATGCTTCAATTTTAACCTGATCAATCTAGGTTTAAATGTTATCTACCACATATATCTGTATAAGTTGTACCTCTTACTCTATAACACTATCTTGGGCCTTGAACATCATTGTAAAAAAAAAAAGTTTGCGAACAAAGATTCCACTGTAACTGAGCATACAGTTAAGGTCAATTGTCCACCAAAAGAGAGATGATCAACCAGTCACATGACTGGATCCCATCCCAGAAATGCAAATAGTGATATCTCTGAAAACTGACCAATCAGTATTGAAATTTGAAAAGTAGCACAAATTAAGAACTACATTAACCTGTTTTCATTACCTACTCCCACCTGATACCTCCTTATTCAGCTTTCAATAAGAATGATTTCTGCATAGCAAAAGACACTAAAAAAACTACCATGTTCAACAACATTCTCATTGGTTAACACCAACCAATGAAACTTCTTCCCGCTAAAATCCAAATCTCAGTCTGGGAGCCAATCATCAGGTATAAAAACTTTGACCTCCACATAGCCCAAGGGAGAGACATTCAAAGAAGGCATTTCACAAGCCACACATCACTCTAACAAACATTTGTAAGTGTTCACATTACAAGAATATCATATGTAAATGCTATGAACTTTACTTGTACAACATTTCCTCTGCACAACCACAAATCCAGTGGCTCTTTCAACCAAGCATATTTTTCATCATCAAAGTTCTAATATGTGTTCACTATTGTTGTATTTATCTCAAATTCATATTATTGACTGTGACATAAGGAAGAAAGAAAAATCTTCAAACAAATATATAATGATGCAAGAATAAGAACAAACAGGCCCAAAATTTCTACTCTTCTTATTTCTGCATGAAATAACCCAAATGCTGACTGCAACAGTGTAAATGGACTGAAGAGTAATTAACACCAAATTATTTAGACTAGTGTCCTAATTTTTGTTTGACTTAATATACTGTATAATTAACTATATAACATACTATATAATCTTGATAATTGGTATAATTCACTTGATTACAACTATCTTCCCCTTTGTTGATTTATCATAAAATTTCAGCCAATCTATTCTTTAGCATAAATCAAATACATCTTTAATTGAATCATCCTTGTATGTTATTGGTGAATTTTATAATTAAGAAGGTTGAAAAATTGTTTTAAAATAAAAATAATCTGTGATAGCACTTAAGAACCAATGAATGGTGCTCCAATCTCTCTAAAGTAATAAGATACAGGGTACTGAGAGAGAGAAGTCAGATACATGGTAGTGAGACAGAAAGGTTGTCTGCTGAGAGAGAAATAGAAAAAAGGTTGGATTCAGGGTACTGAGAGAGAGAGAGATTGGATGCAGGGTACTGAGAGAGAGAAAGAGATTGGATGCAGGGTACTGAGAGAGAGAGATTGATTCCAGGGTAGTGAGTGTGAGGTTGGATCCAGGGTAGAGAGTGAGAGAGAGAGAGAGAGAGAAAGGTTGGTTCTTGGGTAGTGAGTGTGAGGTTGGATCCAGGGTAGAGAGAAAGAGGTTAGATGCCAGGTACTGAAAGAAAGGTTGGATGCCGTGTAGTGAGAGGATGAGATTGGATACAATGTACTGAGAGGATGAGGTTGGATAAAGTGTATTGAGAGAGGGAGGGGCTGATGCTGGGTACTGAGAGAAAGAGACACTAGATTCAGTATAAAACCTGAAAAAATAAAAATAAGGATGCTCATCTGAAATATTTATTGACTAATCAAAATCTTTCCTCTTAGAATGTCAAATATGGACATCAAGAAAAAAACTGTTAATCCTTTTTATAAGCAATTCTTATTTGACTGTGTTGATCCATCAATAAAAAGGAAAAATGAAGAGAGTTTCTTCATGAGAACTAGATTTTGCCAATCAACAAGAAACTATCTTCAATTTTTTGTTCTTTTATGAAAGACAAATCAGAAGAAAGAAAAGACAAGGATTAAAAATGTTGCAGAGCAATTAAATAAAATAGGAAGAATGTCTTTAGATGAGATAGAATTTGTGAAATAATAAAAAGTCCTTGGAAGATTATTGCATTGTGTATATGTGTGTGTGTGTGTGCATATATATATATATATATATATATATATATGTTGAAGCTTAAATAAGCATGGAATAATACAACACAAAATGTACGTTAACAAAATGTATTGAAACAAAGAATAGGTACACAATATTTACAGTTAGTTTGGTATATTCTTGGGAAGACTGTTCCTGCATAATGGGTTGACTAAATCATGATCGGGGCAGAGTCTCTGGATTCAATTTCTTAATCTCTACTATCTTCCCGTCTTCGGTACCAACCCATATTTATATGGTGGGTAGTCCGCTTATGTAAATTAGGTGTATCATACACAACAATATATATATAAAAAAAGTAGACGGTGAAATCAACATCCAGTCTGTTTTATGCTTAAATGCAATTGTCAAGCCATGTATTATATATTATATAATTCTGATACATCAATGTGTGTGTGTGTGTGTGTGTGTGTATAAGATAGAGAAAAATAGGAAACATTTATCATTGATCTAATGTGTTTCATTTATTAAAACATCATCAGAGAATGAGATATTGAGAAAAAGAAAGAAATTATGGTATTTTAACTTTGTGTTTTTGGATTTTCTTTGCTTAATGATTTTCCCCATGCATTTTATTTTTTAAACCAATAATATAATAGTTTCGTTGCAATGCAATTCTCTTTATTAAAAAATCTTCCAAAAATAAAATATATGTCTCCAAAACTTTATTTGAGGAATATTAGCTGATTTAAAGTATAATTAATTAGATTTGAAACAAATATTTACTTTTCATTTAAAATATCACAGAATACATTTTTTAACCAAACAGTATCTGTATTTTTAACTAACAGTAGCCGTGTTGACAAGGTGATGACAGATATAATGTTGCTGTTCTATAAAAACTATTTGTAAAAGATAACTGAAGAAAAAGATGTAAGCACCTTTTTTATTTTTAAGTACTCAATAATCTTAAAAAATTAGGAAAATATTTTTCGTAATCCACAGTTTATTTGTGAAATTTGGGCTTTACATTTAGTACAGTCATCACTCTTATTTTCTGATAATGTTGTGTATGGTCACCCATACTTACAATAAAAAAAAAAAAAAACAAACAAACAAAAAAAAACAAACAAACAAAAAAAAACAAAACTGCATGTTTATAGATTAATACAAAAAAATCAAAATTATTTTCAAAATTAAGAATTTCCATTTATGATTAGGAAATATAGTTTTTATTTAATATCATTAAAAGCACTGAAATTGATACAAAATTTTAAAAGATTTGAAGCTTAATAAGTTCTTAAAATTAAAATTTAAGAAAATGAAAACAGTTCTTGCAAAAGAATATATATATATATATATATATATATATATATATACATACATACAAACACACAAAGAAGAGCATTGGCTAAAGATTAAATAAAACCATTACTTATGGCAATGTAGTGTAGTGTAAAATGTGTTTGATTGTTGCATATTTTCAATGTGTAAGGAAACAGTTTTTTCTAAATCCCTATTAGTAAACTTTGATATATTCAGCAATAATTTCCATCAGTAATAAAGTACAGCAAAACAAGGACATTTTGAATGCTAGAAAACCTCTATTCCCTCACTTAAATAAGTAGAAATAAAAAAATAAAAAACAAGCATTCTAATTGTAAAAATAAGAGAGATTTTTATGACCTAAGAAGGTAACATAGACAACAGGAAGTAATGAAAATCTTTTCATGACTGCAATGCAGGTGAATAAAAAAATGATTGTCTAAACATTTTATTTAAACTAAATCTACACTATCACAACAGAACGTGACTTACATTAATCAGGTGAATGCTTAAATTAACATTTTTCTTTTCACTTTAACTATTGTTTCTAAGTTGAAATTAGTAAAAGCTATTTTCCCAAAAGTTGCAACTGAAGTAAAAAGTAAAATAAGCATTTATATGTTTAACATAAGTCAGATTCTGCCATGATAGATTTAGTTGAGATAAAATCATTTTTCTGATGCTGCTGTTCAATTGGGGAGAGATGTCAGCATAAAAGTTTTTCAAAATTGTCATGTCATATATATATATATATATATATATATATATATATATATATAAATATATATATACAAATACACATACATATACAAAATATATATACATACATACATACATACATACATATACACATACATACATATTTGTATAAAAAAAATAATTCCAAGAGGATAGAATCCAGGTAGAACTCAATGTCCAGGACAGAGTAAGGATATAATAAAAAGGCTTAAACACTAATATTCCATGGTCATAATTTATTCCATTGGAATCGTAAATATGATCCAATTCATCAGACCTACAAATTAAAAAAGAAAACTTAAAAAACAACTCCGGGATTAAAAAATAAAATTTAGTGAGAGTGTATGTATGAGATTGTGGGACGAATGTTAGAGTAAAAGAAAGATATAGAGAGGGGTAACAGACGAGAGAAGAACAGGAGAAGAGCAGGAAGGTCTAACGATGAAGGTGGGGGATTAAAATTTAACAGAGAGAAGTTTTAGAGAGGTTTAAGTGAGAGAAATATGAATGTTCTCAGATGTCTAATACATTAAAGATGTAACTGGAAAGGACACATTTTGTGGTGACATACACATGATAGACGATCTAATCTTATAAAAAGAATGTAAGGTTTTCTTTATATATTCCATATGGGTAATAATATATAAGAAAAAGAATTTGAAAATGCAACTGGAATCTTTAAGAATATTTAATTACAGTAACTTTCCTGGATTCACAGTTCTATGATTTTCAAAAGTTACATTGATCTGGAGAGATATGTGGCTATACTCTATATCTCAATTTAATTTTTAAAAATCATTAAATTGTGAAACTGGTTAAGTTACTGTAAATAAATATTCTTAAAAACTCCATTTCAAAATTCTTTTTCTTGTGTGTGTGTTTGTGTATGATAAAATATAGTTTTAAGGTATGCTGTATTTATGTGTTAATGTGAATATAAAAGTGGATATTGAAATCAACAAAACAGACTGTCGCTTCTGGATATTGACTTCAATGTCAACTTATGTATACTGAGATAGATAAGACAATTCCAAAAACTTCTATTTTGATATGTTTTGCCAATGAACTGGTGTCCTCAGAAAAAAGAAACTTTATTTCAACAAAATCTACTGGGTTGACCAAAATGTATGTTAGATTTATTAAGTAAATTTTCTACACTAGAAAGACCCATGAAAATTTCACAATTTTTCTGTTTGAATATTCTGAGGAATCTTAATTCTTCAGTTATTGATTGAATAAGCTCATAGCAAGTTCTATGAGAATAAAATATTCATAGAAATAATCCAATCACATCATTAAAATATTTGAGCTTAACAACTTTAACAAAATATTGCTTGTCATCATTTTAAGAAGTGGGTACAAATGAAAAGATTTGAAATTGACAACTTTTCCCATTTCATTGAAAAAGTCATTAAGCACTTCTATCTTCTCTTCTTTCTTTCATTTGTATGCCTTGTTGTTTGAAGTAGTCAACATGGAATAGTCTGTTATTTATGAGGTATTGGCAGGAGATGTTAAACACTGCCATCTTCCCTTCATTGTAAAATCCCCATCTTATGAACATTTCTCTTAATAATAATTTTAAAATAATTCAGAAGTCAATGTTATTTTATTTATCGTAACCGATTTTTTTGCCTTATTGGTTTCCATTGTTCAATACTGGCAATTTTAAAATAATTCAGAAGATGATGTTATTTTATTCATAACTGTTTTTCTTGCCTTATTTGGTTTTTATTGTTCAATATTGACAATTTTATTGCAGTTGCCATAATATCTCAGTTTTATGACTGAGATCAAAGTGTGGTATCTGTTCTCATTCTCTCTCTCCACTTCTATCTTCCCATTTCTGAATGAAACCATGTAATAATGACATTTCACCACTTAACACTTGATCAAAATACAGAATTGTCCATTATTTATGAGTTAATAACAAGACACAACAGTCGTGCTAACTAACAAAGGGAGAGACAAGCGTCTATTTAAAAAAAAAAAATGGTATCACCCCCATGCAAGGCAGTAAAACCAATAAGACACAAGGGGTTACAGATTTTGGAAGAATTAGGAACAGAAACATTAATAATAAGTGGGGAAAGAAAAGAGTAATCAGGAGAAATAGCGATTGACATTGCATCTAATTTTTTGTAGATTAAAGTTGGCTGGAAAGCATGAATCTGGAAGGGATTTTCACAAGTGAAACTTTTAGTATAGAACTTACAGCTACATCTAGCTAGCTCAACTGTAAATTGACAAGATCTCGATGCCAGTCCAGTACTGCACTTAAATTCAGAAAGTCTAGGTACCATAGCAAAGAGCTCATCTAAATAATTATAATAAGATAATAACCAAACAAACTTTTTGACTAACACAATACATTAGTAGAATAAAACGTGAAGCACATTAAATGGTTAAAAGCTTGGTCTCTACCCTAACTCCATTGTTCCAAAAATGAGATTTCAACTAATTTAATGACTTCAATACTAATTTACTAAGAATAGGTGATAAATTGAAATAGTCTAGTTGTCTATTAATCATAAGGGGTTAATGTCATGGAACATTTCAAAGAATTTTAATGTGTGTATGTGGGAACATATTCAATGCAAGTATATGCCACCAGAAACATTATGATAACATTTTTAACCAAGAAAATAATTTTTAAATAAAAAATAAACATATGTTTGTCTTGTCTGGTTTTTTGCATATCCACATGTCAAGAGCACCTCTCTTGACTGAGAAAAACACTGGTGTTATATAGCTCTCCCAGTCCCAGACCCCACACTGACTATTGGCTAATACCTGCCTAGTATCATTCATATGCAAATAGTCAGCACCACCTACTATAAGTAGAATGTCCTTTCTCAACAGCCAATTGTGGAAGAGGACTAACTCCTGGTGCTTATTGCACCACATGCAACCAATTCTGGGTTTCTTATTGAGCTGATCTGATTCTCTGTTACACATAATTTATTCAGAAGATTCATTGAATGTGTTCCAATCAACAAATCACTAGTGATTAATATGTTATTTCACTTTATTGCCTGATCTTTCAAAATTAGTATGAAATGCAGAAACCTGAGAATACAGTAATTTCTCAAAAATAATATGCACCCATAAATAATACACGCCTGAACAAATGATCCAAAAATTAAGAAATATATCTATCCCCATGTATAATACACATTTATAAATTTTGTCAAAAAACAGAAAAAATAATTACAAAGACATTTTGTGGACCTTAACATTAAAAATAAATTTGAAACTAAGCGGCTAAAATAATGTTGAAAATTACCATCGCGGTTTTCCCGATAAATATAACATTTTATTTTACCACCAAAATGTCACCAAAATGTGCGAGTTATAGTGAAAATTTTAAACAAAACGTAATAGAATGAGCAGAAAGAATAGGAAACAGAGCTGCAACTAGAGAATATGAGTTAAATGAGGTTAAGATATGTTTATAGAGAAAGAATAAAAATGAACTAAAAAATTGTAAATCAAGTGCCAAAGTAATAGGTAGAGGAAGAAAAGCTCAATATCCAGATATGGAACAAAGTTTAGTTGAATTTGTGAAAGAAAGACGATCAAGAGGATGTTCCATATTTTTCACAATAGAATCCAACTAGTATAATGATGAAGAGATAACTGGAACAGGATTCATGGAATAAAAACAAAGCAACACAGAAAAATATTAAATCCATAATTAGCTGTACAGTGTAGGTAACTTCTACAATATTAAAGTGATTTAGGTTACAAACAGAATTTAATTCTCAAGGGTGGAATAAGAATTTAGGGGAAAAGGAGTTCTTCATTGCTTACCCGTGATGTTTGAATGAGAGATATCCCAAACTTGGCGTTTTCCTGCAAAATAAAATAATTCTCTTAAAATCATGAAAAAACATAAAAAAAAATGTTAGTGTCTTGATGAAGTACTAAGATAATTTAGTTTCCTTACAATACATTAAGCATAAGCAGATTGTTTAATACAGTTGTATCTTTCTTATTTGATCTTTAGTCTTAGTGGCATTGCATTGCTTGGGGCAAAATTATTAAAAAAAAAAAAAAAATTATCTTTCTTACCCTGTTTTTTTTTTGTTTTTTTTTTAAGTGTTTCACCCCAAGCAAGGCGGAAAGCCACTAGGACGCAAGGGGTTACAGAAAATTTGGAGCAAGATCAGATAGGAGTGATAGAAGAAAGGATGAGGAGAAGGGTAGTGGATAGATCAAGGCAACTGAAATGTCAATTGACATTACATTTGAATAGCTGGAGATTATAGCTCTCAGGAAACTGGAATAGGAAGGGAGTTCCACAGGCGAGAGGTGCGAGACATGAAGCTATTGGAGTAGAAGAGACGGCTACATTTAGGAGTTTCGACAGTGAAGGGGTGAGAGTGGAATGCCAGCCTCATAGGGCGCTTGAACTCATGAAGTCTGGGAACTAGCGAATGCAGCTCCTCGGAGCAATTGCAATGAAAGTATTTGTGAAACAGACAGAGAGAGGTGACGGCATGACTGTGAGAAAGTGACTGTAGACGAGATGCCAGATCAGGGCCAATTATATTGCATATCCGCCTGTTGATGGTGCCTAGAATGTGATGACTGCATACCCCTATTTTTTTTAATTTGAGATAATTAAGCTTTGGTTTAATGCTATTCAGTACAAATAACATTAAGACACTTCAATAACTGAGTGGAAAATTATTCAGAGGTCTTAAAAATCAGAAATGTGTGCTTAGATCTTTTGTGTGAGCCCATTACTCACTTGCTTGAAGGCAGGGTATTCGTGATAACCACCTGGATACTTGCAGGTTAATTTCATTGGCAAAAAAATGCAATTGTCCACAATCCTGCTTAAAGTAAACAATTCCATGTTGACACTTCCACGGGTCATGTTTACTCTGCCGTGATCATTGTAGAGTCTTCCTCAGCTGCTTGTACAATGCATAAATTTGGACAAGTTTCTGTGCTACGTGACCATCTCAAATTTGGCAAGCAGGTGGAGGAATGTTCATTTGACAACTGTTGTGAGTATTATTACTGATGTGTCATAGCCAATATGAGCAGTAATTCTCTGAAATGAACCTTCAGCCATCCCAAAAGCCCATAATCTGACCCTCTCAAATGGAGCTAATTGTAGAAAGACTGCATGGGTGTATTTCTAGGACACCTGCTTTCACTGGAATTTAGTAAGTGAACAGCTTTTTTATAAAAAATGTTATTCTGAAATTTAATTAAAAGAAAGAGTAGCAAAATGCAGTTTTGAAAAACAATAAAAAGATCAGTAGCAATTTCAGTTTTAGAATAAATGGGTTTTTCCTTTTATTTTTTTAAAAGTAACTTTGGGTATTAAACAGTACATGGATTGCTTAATTTCTGCACAAGAGTTCATACATTTTTTCTTTTAATCTATTCACTCTTAACAAGGCAATAACAAGGCTACTAAAATGAAAGAGTATTGGGAATGAAAAAGATTCAGAAATTTTTAGAAGGATCTGGAAACACAATCCTAAACAGGAAACAAGAGATAAACCTCTATACCTGTTCAAAACATTGAGGAGGAATGTAAACCTGATGATAGGAAAACCTATCTTAACTTATTTAAGACATTTCACTCTAAGCAAAGAAGTAAAATTGTTACAATAAAATATGAAATGGTTCTTTAAATGTTTTATCTTCGGGTCTAATAAATAGAAAGGAATGGCAGCTCAATGGAACTGAATTGGTAGAATTAATTGAATAGAATATGAAATGGTTGCTTCAATATTTTATACTTTGGTCCAATAAATAGAAAAAAAAAGACATTTTAATTTTAATAAACTGGTAGAATTAAGTATAGTAACTCTTAGTTTAATTTAAAAACTTTCTTGTTGATTTTTTTATATGCTTAAGCCACAATCACATTGGTAGTAAATTTTCATAAAAGTTATAGAAATTTGAGTATAGTGCCTATAAAAGAATTGCTTATTGCAAATTGAATATATATATATATATATATATATATATATATATATACACACACATATACATGCATTGTATCTTAAAGCTTGTTTGGTTTCTTGAAAAATACACTACATAATGAAACAATCTCTAATATGGAATTATTTAAAACAATTCACTTTTTAATCTCAGAAAATGTCTAACATCTGAAGTTGGTATATTTTTTTCATAGAATTTAGAAAGATACTTTACCATCAGAATTCTTTTAAACCTCCAGTTTATTATCTGCAAATCTTACACTGCTGTCTAATACATGAGTAAATAAAGAAACAATATATAACATGAATTAGTAGTTTTGGAAGATTTATGACTTCCTATAATAGTAAAATTTTGCTAATTGCAAGGGTTGCAGCCTAGACAAGCAACTTTGAGTTTCAAATAGACTGGCCAGGATGATTATTTGGTAAGGGAGAAAAATTAATCCAGGACATCCTTTTTCAAATCACCCTGTAGTATGGATTATCAACCCTTATATGTATTCTGTATTTAAAAAAGTCCAGCTCGGACACACTCCATTCTATATTGAATAAAGCTTCAGGTAAGTTATACCTGTATTTGTCTTTTCACTACAATCAACGTAGAACATTGCATGAGATCACAAAGGTTCAATGTCGACCCCTGATCATACCACACACCTTTTATTAAATATTCAAGAAATTCTATCTCACTCCTGAATTAAAATTCTTCAAGCATTTTTGGGTAAAGCATTTCATCTGAATACTTAACTTTTCGTTTGGTGTTTCTACTATGTATCTTGAGATTCTTGGCAATATCAAATGAAGAACATGGAATGGTATTGCAGTTTCAAAACTTTCCATACTGCTGTAACAGAGCTTTTCTGCCATTTATATAAATATTTTCATAATAAGTTTTCTGATGAGCTTTCCACTTTGGTAGCCTGGCTTCATGAACTTAAATGCAGAACTAGACTGGCAATGAGGATACATTACTATTGAAATTTCTAGATGTCACTGTAAGCTCTACACTAATAGTATCTTAACATTCACTTCTTGATTATGAAACTCTTCCAGCTTGTTGCTTTCCTTTCAACTATGATCAAAAATTTAAATACAATGTCAGTTGCCATCTGTCTCTTTGAATCTTGTTCATTTATTTTCCTTTCTTGCCTCAGTAACATTTTTTCCCCATTTCTATCAGTTTCAATAATGACATGCATTTTAGTGGCTTTATCACATTGCTTGGGGAGAACAAATTATTAATAATTAGAAGGAAAAACAAATATAAAAAGAAGCAAAGAAAAGAAGAAAAGAAAAAAGAAAAAGAAGAAAAGAAAAAAGAAAAAGAAGAAAAGAAAAAAGAAAAAGAAGAAAAGAAAAAAGAAAAAGTAGAAAAGAAGACAGCAAAAAAGAAAAGAAAAGAAAACGATGAAAAGAAGAAAGAAAAAGAAGAAAGAAAGAAAGAAAAAGAAGAAGAAAAAAGAAAGAAAAAGAAGAAAGAAAAAGAAGAAGAAGAAAGAAAGAAGAAAAAAGAAAGAAAGAAAGAAAAAGAAGAAAGAAAAAGAAGAAAAGAAGAAAGAAAAAGAAGAGAAGAAAAAGAAAGAAAAAGAAGAAAGAAAAAGAAGAAAAGAAGAAGAAAGAAAAAGAAGAAGAAAGAAAAAGAAGAAGAAAGAAGAAGAAGAAAGAAGAAGAAGAAAGAAAAGAAGAAGAAAGAAAAAGAAGAAAGAAAAGAAGAAGAAAGAAAAAGAAAGAAAAAGAAGAAGAAAATAGAAGAAAGAAAAAGAGAACAGAAAAGAAGAAAGGAAAAGAGAAAAAGAAGAAAAGAAAAAAGAAAAAGTAGAAAAGAAGACAGCAAAAAAGAAAAGAAAAAGAAGAAGAAAGAAAAAGAAGAAGAAAGAAAAAGAAGAAAGAAAAAGAAGAAAGAAAGAAAGGAAAAGAAAGAAAGAAGAAGAAGAAAGAAAGAAAAAGAAGAAGAAGAAAGAAAGAAAGAAAAAAGAAAGAAAAAGAAGAAAAAAAGAAAGAAGAAGAAAAAAAAAAAAGAAGAAAAGAAAAAGAAGAAAGAAAAAAGAAGAAAGAAAAGAAAAAAGAAAGGAAGAAAGAAAGAAGAAGAAAGAAAAGAAGAAAGAAAAAGAAGAAAGAAAAGAAGAAAGAAAAGAAGAAAGAAAAGAAGAAAGAAAAGAAGAAAGAAAAGAAGAAAGAAAAGAAGAAAGAAAAAGAAGAGAAGAAAAAGAAAGAAAAAGAAGAAAGAAAAAGAAGAAGAAAGAAAAAGAAGAAGAAAGAAAAAGAAAGAAAAAGAAGAAGAAAGAAAAAGAAGAAGAAAGAAAAAGAAAAAGAAAAAGAAGAAGAAAGAAAAAGAAAGAAAAAGAAAGAAAAAGAAAGAAAAAGAAAGAAAAAGAAGAAGAAAAAAAGAAAAGAAGAAAGAAAAGAGAAACAGAAAAGAAAGAAAGGAAAAAGAGAAAAAAAGAAGAAAGGAAAAGAGAAAAAAAAGAAGAAAGAAAAAGAAAAGAAAGAAGAAAGAAAAAGAGAACAGAAAAGAAGAAAGGAAAAGAGAACAGAAAAGAAGAAAGGAAAAGAGAACAGAAAAGAAGAAAGGAAAAGAGAACAGAAAAGAAGAAAGGAAAAGAGAACAGAAAAGAAGAACGGAAAAGAGAACAGAAAAGAAGAAAGGAAAAGAGAACAGAAAAGAAGAAAGGAAAAGAGAACAGAAAAGAAGAAAGGAAAAGAGAACAGAAAAGAAGAAAGGAAAGAGAAAGAAAGAAGAAAGGAAAAGAGAACAGAAAAGAAGAAAGGAAAAGAGAACAGAAAAGAAGAAAGGAAAAGAGAACAGAAAAGAAGAAAGAAAAATATGAAAAAGGGAAAAAGAATAACAAAAAAGAATGGAAAAAAGGAGAAAGAAAAAAGGTAAAAAGGAAAAAAAAGAAAAAAGAAAAAAAAGAAAAAAAAAGAAAAAAAAGAACAAGAGTAGTATTTGGAACAAGGATGCCTTAGTTGGAGTTTTCTTTCAAGTAAATAAATCATTGCAGCATGTCTCACGGAAATTCAAAGGTTATCACCAAAAATAGATATTTATAAAAAATCAGTGTAGCAAAGCAACTAAAACAATTATATTAAAAAGCACAGTGGATAAAGGCTTTGGTTAGATCCAGTGACAGGACCCAAAGAGTGTGAGTTCAATACCCAGTTAAGGCAGTGGAGAACTTGGATAGGGTAATTAAGAGGAGATAACTGATATCCATTAAACATGGTACATGGAACTAGAACAGTCTACCCCAGTGAGCAAAATAAAGGATTCAGTTCGACATTCCAACCATCTGAAGAAGGCCGGAGCATACAACGGTCGAAACATTGTTATAAATATGGTGACAAAGATGAGAACAATAGTCTGAATAATGTAAATAGTGTAAAAAGTTTAAATCTAATATATATATATGTGTGTGTGTGTGTGTGAAACTTAGTAAATGTATCATTTTTTTCATGAATATAATATTAAGCTAAAATTTGATAATATTAGTCCTGTAACTCAAATAATTGAATAAATTATTTTCTGGTGATTGAAAATTATGCAAAAACAGATTTAACTAGTACAGAAATTTCTTTAGGGAAAGCAGCAATTTTGAGAACTGACAAGCAGAAAGGATTTATGTTAAAGCTTAGGCTATGCCTGCTATCATTTCTCATCTTAATCAATTCAGTCAATTGTCTCTTTCTCTCAACAAAACACTCTTTATTACTACATCAGTATGGATGTGATTATAAAGTCCTTTTCTCTTTCTTCTTATTGTTTATTGCAAACTTGTCAACTCTATTTGTTGGGCATTTCTGTCAATTGCATTTAACCATGGCCAATTACTCTACAATTATTATTTATAAAGGTCTGTCAAAAGTATTTTTAATTTTTACAGACCTTTATACAAAATTTTATTGTATACATTTAAATATAATCTACAAAACTACTATTAATATTATTTAAGGTGTACCAAAAGGATTTCTGATTTTTACAGACATTTGCTCCAAAACTTATTTAAAGACTATGACTCTCCCACTATATCATTAATAATATTATATATACTACATCATTACTGGTTGCTTTGCTGATGGCAAGATGATCAAATTTCAAATCTCAATTGATTGTCCCTTTAAAATGCTACATTTATTAAAAAATATAGTCAGTTTAACTACAGATGGGACCATAAAATGACCTCAAAGGGCTAGCTTGTATTCTTTTCCTGTTACCCAAAAATCGCTGCCACAGAGAAAAGGAAATTAGTCCTAATTAGCACAGATGTGCATTTGAAATTCATTTAAACTGTGTGTGCATGTATGTCTACAATGACAGACCTAAAAATGTTTCTGACATTTTTAAATATTTTAAAGAATAATTCAGTTTACTTCTGAATAAATTTTGAAAAAAAAAATTTTGAAAAAAAAAATTCAATAAAAAGCTTACAGTTACAATATTTTAGAATTAAAAAACTGTTTTTTTTTTTCTCTCCAGCTTTATGATTATATTGCTCAGACCAGGTTAGGTGTTGTTCAGACCGGGGGGGGAGAGAATGTATTATTTTAACGTCTTATTTCAAAATTAATCAAAGTGTGTGTGTGTGCACTTGCTTTTTAATTGATTGATTTGTTTTTTATGGCTTATCAACTATTTGCAAGTTATTTAAAGCCAGGGAATATTTTTTTTTTTTAGACAGTAAGAATATTTGTAAGATAATACTGATTTGCTGATACGAGTCCTTCTAACTAATCCATAGCTGGGGAGGAGAAGAGGTGGATTAAAGGCATTTGTGCATAAGTAAATATAACAAACATGACTGGAATTGGAACTCGGTGCGCCAATTTCAAGCCATTCTCATTAACACTCCAAACTCATTCTCATCCAAACTTACAGCACCTGGTATTCACAAGCGGTTACCCATCTAGGTATTGACCAAACATGATATTGCATACCTTCAGTGACTGTATGATAACCAATGTTTCAAGCGGTATGACCATAGTGTGTGCATTAAATGGTGCAAGCACATGTAAATCACTCCTGGACAACACAGATATATACATACATATCACATAAGCAAATGCAATGTCATATGCAGTGTGTGATGGAGAGAGAATCAGCTCTTTGTTATATATATTTATTATTATTGACATCTATCAGCCTTGTGAGACCATAGATCTGTGCCTAAAGAACACAGGACTAGGAAGGTTTTTTTTTTCTTGTCCATACAACATGACTTCATTCTCCATGTCAATGTTGTTGTCCTAGGAAAAGGCAGATGCCAATAGAGCTTGGCATTGGTGCCATTGCAGGAGTTGCCAGAATGAAACGTGATGTCAGAATATGGCTTCAGATTTGAATTCAGAGTTGTCTTTCTCTTAGTCCGGTTGACAACCATGACTACAGGGCCCAAACTGCTCTACTGTTTACCTATATTTGGAGGTTTTGAATTCAAGTTTTTCCTACTCAACACTGCATTTCATCATTATCCAGTTCTATGATATATATATATATATATATATATATATATATATATATATATATATATATATATATATATATAACTACATGAATTTAAGTGTGCTACTAGATTAGGATCTATGTCCTACCCATTTCCTATTGAAAAGGTTAAATGTAACCCACTACTTCTACTCCAGCAGTTTCTTTTCTTGCACTTCCCAACATTAGAACTCCCTTCATCTCACTTGCTTCCCTGATAACTACAATCTTCAAAAATTTTAATGCAACATCAGTCATCATCTTCTGTTGCCTTCATCCCTGTCCTTTTTTCCTTTCCTCAGTCCACCCTCACCCACTCTTTTCTCTCACTTTCCCTCTCTAACCCTCCGTGGGCTAGTCAAACTTCTAGCTTGCTTGGGGGGGAAATGCTTAGAAAAAAAAAAAGTTTAAATAAAAATATATATCTAATCAAACACATTTAAAACAATGAAGATCAGAAGTTAACAACAAAAATTGTAATCTATAATGCTTTTGTCATTTCAATTTTGCTATATGTTTGCAAAACCTGGACTCAATATCATCACAACATCTAAAAATTAGAATATTTTCACCAGCAATAGCTTTGTTCAATCTTGAACACCAAATGGAATTACTATGTGACCAACACCAAACTCTTGGAAAGAGCCAAGAGTCAAAATATTGAATTGCTGATCATTAAACACTGTCTTTGATGATCAGGATACATAGCAAGAATGGAAGAGTCAAGGTTTTCACGTCAAGTCTTATTCAGGGAGCTCACTTTAGGGAAAGACACTGGACTTGAGCCTAAATTGTTTGGAACACAAGCACAAAACTGTACCAACTGGTTATGTTCCATCACCATCAGAACCAAAAACTTTGAAGCCACCAGAAGAGAAAAAGAAGAATTCAAACAAGAGAGAAAGGCCTGACAAAAATTGAGCTTGTCCTCCAACAACATTACTAGATAGTCAATGCCATGCAAGAATTGGACTGCTTAGGCAGCAACCTCACCAACATAGATGAAATGATCAGAAAAGAAATTAAATTTTCCATACAAGATAAAGCTGACTATATATATATATATATATATATATATATATATATATATATATATATATATATATAATAGTTGGATTGATGAGTTTGTGACCCTGCTCATGCTTTTGCAATCGTCAGACAAACTGATTAATTTTTTAAAAAATTTGAATTTATGTAGGTTGTGCGTATTGGTGTTTTATGGAAGTGGGATGAAAATTTTTTGCTGTGACACCACTCATACTTATACAAACATAAAGTTTGTCTGATGATTGCAAAAGCGTGAAATCCAGGGTCACAAACTCACATCAATCCAACTAAATATCTCTGATATTGAGTACTTTCCAATAAGTACCATGCATATAATATATAAGTAATATATATAATATATTGCACACACACACACACACATATATATATATATATATATATATATATATATATATATATATGTATATATAATTATCATTAATATTCTCTTACCTTTTGTTTCAGGCATTAAAGAGAAATACTCAAGAGTATTAAGATTCTGAAAATTTTGAGAAGTGAAGAACTCAGTGTGTGGTATCTTTGGAAAGTGGCTGAAAATCAAACCACAATTTAGATCAATTCTGAAATGTTCAGAAGCCATCAATGGTGGTGCTAGCATGTAGTCACAAGTCATCATAACTGAGGCTTTGAGAGTGCTTGCATTGTTTAAAAAAAAAAAAAAATGATTACACCAGATTATGTGCTCCCTCCCATAAACTCTAAAATCCTCTCAGCATAGTTGCAATAGAGACCAGAAATGGACACTATATGTTGAGTAGGTGTCTGCAATAGGGATTTGCTAAATGATCTTCTAGACACTGAAACAAGTAGTGGCCATCCATCCATTTTGAACAAAGCTTCAAAGCCACAGAAGCTGATCACAGTATTCAGAAAAGGAAACAATATCTGATCATACTTTCCAAAATTGGTTTAAGTGGATGACTGTCAGTAGTTAATTATGATATCTTAGAATGCAAACTAGACAAGCAATCCAGTCAACAGCAATCAAAAGAGAAAGGTCAAGTCAGTATTTATCCTTGAATATCTGACTGAATTATTTTCATTAATAGTCCTTGTTGATAAAAATTCTGTCCTAAATTCTATCATATACAGTATTATAAAAAACACTAGCCAAATTACCCGTGCCTTGCTGTGTATCACACAGAGTGGTGAGGATTGATTTTAAATTATTGTTATAATTTGTGGAGAAAAAAGATGCTTTTCAGTATTACTCAATGATCTTGCTGATGTGACCTCCATCTTTTGGCTTTGTCCTCCTATATTTTGGATAGTTGTTCCCTTGTTCAAATTTAATTTAATTTAAAAGGGAAAAAATATTCAGTGTGGTGTTTGTGCAAAAACAGCTTGATCTGACCCATTTGATATGTATTTGATGCAATACTTGATTGAATGAATTGATGAGAAGATCTTAACATTGATATGATAGTTGAATT